AAAAAAAAAAAAAAAAAAAAAATAATTATTTATTTATTTATTTATTTATTTATTTATCTATTTTATTTATTTTATTTATTTTATTTATTTATTTTATTTATTTATACTATATATACAATATTATACAAAATACGCATACAGACATAATGTATACACCATATATACATATACATGCAAATAAATAAAATAAATAAATAAAATAAATAAAATAAATAAAATAAATAAATAAAATAAAATAAATAAATAAATAAGGATACTTACTTGGATCTAGTAAGAGGATATTTATTAGGAAAAGGTGCATGTGTCCAATTATATGTATGAGCTAAATCATTACCTGTACCTGAAGGAATTATACAAAAAATAATATAATTAATATTTATTTTTTTATTTAATATACTACCTACAGTACTATTAAATGCTCCATCTCCTCCTACAGCAATTACTCTTATTCTTTTCTTTAATGGTACACCTTTTGCTGCTGCTGCTGCTGTTGCTGCTGTTGCTGCTGTTGCTGCTGTTGCTGCAGATTCTCCTCTTTTTTTTGATAGGTTTAGCGTCATATTTCCTTCTTTTTCTGCACTTTTTGCTGCTGTTCCTCCTGCTGCTGCTGCTGTTCCTGCTGCTGCTGCTGTTGCTGCTGCTGCTGCTGCTGCATCAGGTGTATTATTAGCTAATTGTAATATATTAATAGTATTAGATATATCCGTAAGTGCCATAGACATAGAAGATGGATCTTTTTGTGCATATATACGTAATAAACAACAACCAATAAATATTTCTGTTACTGGTGTATATTTTATGTATTTTTCTCCTAGTCTACTCCCTGATGTTTTATTAGCAATAAAATAATATAATTTACTTTCTCCTTTACATGGCCATTTATTTATTATATCTAATGCTTCCTCTTTTGTACGAACTCCTGATGGTATAGGGGCCCCTGGGGACCCTAATAGGGGGCCCCCTTCAGATTCTGGTGGATCCTTTAATAGGGGGCCCTCATAGGGTACTACAATTGGGCCCTCAGGGGGCCCCACCTCTATACTCTCATCATTAGGGGAAGGAGAAGAAGATAATAATGAATCTACTGATGATGAAGAACCAGGAGGGGAAGATATATTTGCTGTTGCTGTTGTTGCTGCTGCTGCTGCTGCTGCTGTTGCTGCTGTTGTTGTTGTTGTTGTTGTTGTTGTTGTTGTTGCTGCTGCTGTTGCTGTTGTTGTTGCTGCTGCTGCTGCTGCTGCTGCTGCTAATTCATCTACTTTTGTACTATATCTACGGAAGTATTCTTCTGTATTAAATGATTCATTTCCTTCTATAAAAGAAGAATTAAAAGAAAAGAAGAAGAGGAAAAAAAAGAAAAAAAAAGAAGAAAAGGAAGAAAAAGTCTGCTGCTCCTGCTTATTTACGGTCGCCATAGTATAAAAATATTCAAAGCATTTCTTTACCTGCTTGTTACATATATATATATATATATAAGGGGTGCAGCAGCAGCAGCAGCAGCAGCAGCAGCAGCAGCAGGTGAGGTGTGCAGACACCTCAACTAAATAAATTTAATTTAAATATATAAAACTATAAAACTCAGAAAGGGCAGCAAGAATAATGTCAATAAGAGGCAGCAGCTTATAAAAATCCCTCCTGTTGTTGCTGCTGCTGCTGCTGCTCCTGTTGCTGCTGCTGCTGCTGCTGCTGCTGCTGCTGCTGCAGCGAGATCGCTCGCTCGCAACAAACAAAAACAAACCCTTAAATCTTTTTTATTTAAATTCTTTTTATAAATACTAATTTTATTCAAAAAAATACTTCAATTGAAACAAATAACTCCTGCTGCTGCAGCTGCTGCTGCTGCTGCTGCTGCTGTTGTTGCTGCTGCTGCTGCTGCTGCCTGCGTGACAACGGGCAACGCTCTCTCGCGCGTGTCGGGTCGAGGGTTGGGGTCTTCTAGGGTTTAGGGTTTAGGGTTTAGGGTTTATTATAAGGGAATAAAGAAAGATCTATAGTAAATAAAAATGTAATTTTTTTATCTATTTAATTAAATTAATTAATTAATTAAATTATTCCTTTCTTTTATGATATAACATTGAACAACCGCAGCAGCACCAGCAGCACCAGCAGCAGCACCAGCAGCAGCACCATCAGCAGCAGCGACACACACATGCAACACTCGAAGGAGAGCAGCAAAAAAAAAGAGGCAACAAAAAGAGCAAAATAAAAGAAAAATACTTTTTTATTTATATATTTTTTCTTTAGAGTATATAAAGATATTTATCTTCATAGGGCTTAGGGTTTAGGGTTTAGGGTTTAGGGTTTAGGGGTGGATCGATCATGTGTTACACACCTAAGCAAGAAGAGGGTTTACGAATATGCACACATATACGTATACATGTACATATGCATATGCATACATATATACGTATATATTTATTTATTTTATTTATTTATACTTATTTATTTATTTACTTATTTATATATTTATTTATTTATTTATTATTTATGTATATACTTATATACTTACATAAACCCTTAAAAAAAGAAAATATAAGGGAGGCAGCAGCAAGAAATAAATAAAAAAAAGAAATATTTATTAATTATTTTATTATGTAGTCTGTATGCATGCATGTATGCATGTGGGCATGCATGCATACACACCAATGCATGCATGCATCCATGCATGCATTATAGTGTGGGGCCGCCAAGAAAGTAAAGAACTGGTTGCTGCAACGGCTATTGGCTGCTGCTGCTGCTGCTGTTGCTGTTGGTGCTGCTGCTGCTGCGGTTGGTGCTGCTGCTGCTGCTGTTGGTGCTGCTGCTGCTGCTGTTGGTGCTGCTGCTGCTGCTGCACACTCTTATGATTACTGGTTATCTTCCTTCTCCCTCAGGTGTATAATACAAAGGAAAGAAGAAAAAATAAAAAATTTATTTATTCCTTTTTTCTTCTTTTCTTCTTCTATAGTATACCCTTATTATTCATAAACCCTAAACCCTACTTATTCACAAACCCTAAACCCTAATTATTCATAAACCCTAAACCCTACTTATTCACAAACCCTAAACCCTAATTATTCATAAACCCTAAACCCTACTTATTCACAAACCCTAAACCCTAATTATTCACAAACCCTAAACCCTAATTATTCACAAACCCTAAACCCTAATTATTCACAAACCCTAAACTCTACTTATTCACAAACCCTAAACCCTAATTATTCACAAACCCTAAACCCTAATTATTCACAAACCCTAAACCCTAATTATTCACAAACCCTAAACCCTAATAAAGAAGAAGAAGGAGGAGGAGACACACAAGAACAAATACAAGAAAAGTATACTATACAAAAGAATCATCCTTATATGTAAACCCTAGAAAACCCTAGTAAACCCTAATTAATAAACACTAGTAAATATTAATAAACCCTAATAAACCCTAAACCCTAGGGTTTAGGGTTGCGTATTATTATACGAGGCAAAACTTTACTTTTATCTATTTGTAGGTTTCCTCCTAAACCCTAATACATAAACCCTAAACCCATAAACCCTAAACCCTAATACAGCAACCCTCAACAAAAACAGCAGCACAGCAGCAGCAGCAGCAACACCAACAGCAGCAGCAGCAGCAGCAACAGCAAAAGCAAGCAAGAATAAATCAGTCAGCACAGTCTCCTATCAGCAGCACCAGCAGCAGCAGCATTACACCTGGCAGTAAGGAGAAGAAGGAAGTTTATTTATTGGGGGCCCCCTCCCTATCCGCATAAGAGGGGGCCCCCTTAAGTGTACATATGCGCATAAGAAGACCTCATAGGAGCCCTAAAGGGGGCCCTAGGGGCCCTTTAATCAGGCCGTATAGGGGCCCCTGTAGGGGCCCCTCCCTAGGGGCCCTTAGGGGCCCCATAAAGGATTCTTTCTTATTATTTGTCCTAAAGGGTATTGAATGTTTTATTTTATGGTGTATTTGTCAGTGTCTATACAGCTGAATATAAATAACATATTTATAAGAGACGAGGAGGCTTACCTTCTGCATGCATGCAGTCTGTATGTTGAATAGGGAAGAAAAGATGGGGAAAAATAGGGAAACCTGCAGTAAATAGGGTCAATAAAGACTTTATTCTTCTTAATTAAACAAAATAAATAAGGATCACTAAAGAAAAACAAAAAAAGAGTGAATTTTCTTGCTTTTTCAATGTTTTTTTGTATGGAGGCCATGGGGTGTATGTACAGCTGCTGTGTGCCATTGGTCGCCGCAGCGGCTTTATGATGTTCTTCTTGTTTATTGTTCGTCATCCTTCTTTAAATTAATTGTATTTCCTCTTAATATTACTCTTTTATATATATTTTATCCGGTAACCAATAAAAAAAGGGGGAAATTACCTCTCTTTTTCTGCTTCTGCTTGCCGTTGATTGCGGCGACGAGGCAGCAAAGACGAGGAAGGATTCCTCTTGACTTCTTCCTCTTTTTATTTGTTTTTTCTTCTTTTTACCTCCTCTTTATAATTGGTTTACTTTATTCTACTCAAAATACACTGCATGCAAACATTTATTCTCCTTTTCCTCCATCAGCTGCAACACAGGAGGCCTCGCAACTACCTGCTGCTTCCTTCTTACATCCATGGAGGGCGTACAAGAAGCAGCAGCAGCAGCAGCAGCAGCAGCAGCAGGTGCTGCTGCTGCATTCAGCAGCAAGAGACTGGATGACGATATTTTTGGGGATCATGGATCAGATGTTTCTGCATGCGCTGCTGATTGTCCCAAAGAGAGCAGCAGCAGCAGCAGCAGCAGCAACGGCAGCAGCAGGAAGCATGAGGTGCCTGCCAGTGGAGTAGAGGACGAGGCACCAACGACATCAGCAGAGGCAGCAGCCATTCCTGCTGCTGCTGTTTCTGCTGATTGTTCTTCTGCTGCTCCTGCTGCTGCTCTTGCTGCTGCTGCTGCTGCTGCTCCGCATCTTGGCCATCCCTCAGAGGCTTCTACGAGTGCAGCAGAGCCACAGGAGGGAGCAGCAGCAGCAGCAGGATCTTCTACTGCATCCTTTTTAGGAGAGGGTGTGGGGCCCCACACAGAGGCAGCAGCAGCAGCAGCAGAAGATACATTGTCTGCAGCAGCAGTAGGTGCAGCAGGCGATGCAGCAGTAGCGGCAGAAAGTGCATTGTCTGTAGCAGCAGGAGATGTAGCAGCAGCAGCAGCAGCAGAAGATGCGCTGTCTGCAGCAGCAGGAGATGCAGCAGGAGA